TAAATGCGTATAACTTTATCTATATCTACCATTCCCTATAATATTTTATATAAATATAATATATCATATCAACAATATTAGAGATATAAATGTAGGCTCATATATAATATTATAGATAGATACATGTAGTATTATATATAATTTATCTACCACTCCAATAAGATTTTATATAAATATAATATGATATACTATCATATGAATTAAAGTATAAATGTAGAATATTATATATAATGTTATAGATAACATAAAACATTATATATAATTATATCTACCACTCCATATAAGATTTTATATAAATATAATATTATATACTATCATATGAATTAAAGTACAATTGTAGAATGTTATATATAATGTTATAGATAAATAAAACATTATATATAACTATATCTACCACTCCGTATAATATTTTATATGGATATAGAATCACAGAATCTTGTGATATAATATTATATTATATATAATATCATATGAATAAAAGTATAAATGTAGAATATTATATATAATGTTATAGGTAACATAAAACATTATCTATAATTATATCTACCATTCCATACAATATTTTATATAAAGATAATATGATATCATATAAACAAATTTCAAGTGTAAATGTAGACTATTCTATATAATGTTATAGATACATATAACATTATATATGATTATCTCTACCCTTCTATATAATATTTTACATAAATACAGTGTATTATATAATACAAATAATAGAAATAACGTATAAATGTAGACTATTCTATATAATGTTATAAATATCAATCATAGAATCTTGATCATAGAATTATCAATATACAATGTTATATATAATGTTATATATAATATATAATATTATATATATATCATATATATATTATTATATATACTTATATTTCATATAAATAGATAAATTTAATAGCAATTAACAAGAGGGGTTAAGTAGGTGTTTTAATTAAGCCACGTAGAAGCTGCTGATGGGTTTTCTGGACGCTTGTTGGGTGACCCCAAGGTGGCCACCACCATCCTTGGTGCTGTCACTGGTGGGACAGGAGGGGTGACATGGGATGAGCCCCTTTTCCCAGCATCCCCCTGGGTTTTGGGGGCGTTTGCTGGGAATTGGTGACTGGAGCCAGATGCCGGTGAAGGCTCAACATCCTGGATGAAACCAAGAGGTTCCCAGTGGAAGATGAGGGACCTCAACCAGGAGCTCCAGCGATGGTGGGGCTGGGACCTGGACTGGGGGGGTGGAGACACCCCAAGAAGTGGCTTTAACGGAATCCATTAATTAAGGTCACTCTTAAAAATCTTCATCAACAACGTAGGTGGTGGCATCAAGGTTGGACTAGATGGTCTTCAAAGGTCCTTTCCAGCCCAAACCCTTCTGAGATGCTATGGATGGGCTTTGAGCAGCTTGATCTCGTTGAAGATGTTCCTGCTCATGGCAGGGGGGTGGGGCAG